CTTTTAAATTAGTTTCTCAATTCATACATTGTGTCAGTCTTGAAGAAGATGATATTTTGCAGTTATCTTGATGAATAGCTGTATTGCGTGCTGTAAGCCCAAGGTAGGATTTTGCTGAGCTAGGCATGGATGCTGTCGCTGAATCAGTCGTTTATAAGAGGCTCAGGATAAATTTGTCTCTCTCATCCCCCAAGAAGGCAATAGAAATCCCTTGGTAGCGGGAAGGTTTTTATAGTGAGCTTATTTGATTGTGTGCTAATCTGGAACAAAGTCTCCCGACGGCACAAGTTTTTTTCTTCCAGAGGGCAGCCAAGTACCCTCCGGTTTCCTGACACCAGGAGTGATAGCTTAGAGGGAGAATGACAGCGTAGGAGTTTTAGCAAAGGTGGAAAACAGAACATTCGGGGCATGCTTCTTGTGAGTCATTATGTTTTCTCTGGACAAGTGGATTTAGATGATTTACCTGTCGATCATCTTGTTATTCAGGGAAGCGCTGGGGGAAGATGCAGGTGAAAGCCTGTTTTTCTTTCATTCCCAGTACCTTCTCCGTTCCCACCTCGGCTTTTCTCTTGGTGGTTTCTGAGGGAGCTGCTCCTACTGAGGCATTTTAGTGAAGTAGGAATATCATATGTTTAAGGCGAGCTCAACCAGGTTTATTTTCCTAACCGACCCTTCTAATGGCTGTGGTTGCAATCAGGTGACTCCAGCCTAAGGCTGCCTTGCAGCCAGGAGGGTGGCCAGCACTCTTTGTCCCCTGCACGCTTGTCCCTCCCTCATGTTTGCAGCTCGTGCTTGGGGAGGGGGCACATGGGGAGCCAGATGTTGAGAGTGATCTGGCTGAAATGGGAGTTCCCATATGCAGCTGGATCAGTGCGTTGTAGGCACAAGGGACTGCAGGAGCAAGTTACGTCTCGGGTGTACCGATGGCATGGACTGCTCCACCTCTGGCAGCCCAACCCTGGGGCAGTGCCCCTGCCTGGAGCCTGGGGCATGGCAGCGAGTATGGGCGTCCTGCAGAGGTGTGGGCAGACCACTAATCTCTGCAGCTGTTCAGATTTTAATTTAACTGTCTAATTTCATGGACTTTAAAGAAGGGGAGATCACTGAGCTGGGTCCTGCAGGAGGAAATGAGCTGGTGGTTAGAGAGAAGGAAGTTGGTGACAGAGGAGGAACATGGTTCCATGCAAACAAGGTCATGTGAATGGCTGTTTGGTGACAGGATGGAGTGATCGATGTGCAAGGATAATAGGTCACTGGGGAGTCAGCCTGAAAGCTGAAGTCTCTCAAAATGTGTGGGACATTGTGGAAAGGAAAGTCAAAAAGACATCAAGTAAAGCCAGACAGCTTCTTGCACACCAGCCTGCCTTGCAGCTCTGGCTAGCGTGCTTCCCTTGGCTTATTTTTGCACACTCCAATCTCTGACTATATAAACGAGTTGGGCACTAAAAAGTTGTTCGCACTTCCTTCTGCGCAGACACTGGCCTGAGCCAAAGGACTGAGCCTTCGCTCCCAGGAGTAAACCCATCCCGTGGCAGGGACCAGCCCTTCCTCGCCCTGATGAGCCTTCGCTCTGGCTGCCTTCTGCAGTTGGGCTATTCCTCCCCTGAGCGGGGCCTTCCCTGGATCAGCGGCATTTAGTGGCATTTACTGGAGGGCTCAGATTACCCCAGTGAAAATAATCGGTTATGCAAAGTTACGCTGTTTAGATTGGGTTTCTTCTGTGTGGCCAGTGAGGTGTGAAAGTCAATCTGCTCTGCAAACCCTGAGGGCACTTTCTCTGTGCTGACTTGATATGATAGCTTTGGGGTTTGGCTGACGGGGGGGAAAAGCTGGCCCTGGGTTCAGTTCAAAGGGACATAAACCACAGGTGGTTACGGTGGGACTGGGCTCACGAGCAAGACAGCGCTCCTAAATCTTGCCGGGGCTGAGCAAGCCCGGCCTGGCAAAGCAAATGAGTCGCCTGAGAGGGGGGTGCGAGGTTTGGGTCTTGCTGGGGTTGCAGAGCCCTTCCGTCATCTCAGCCGGGAGAATGCTGGTGAGGGCAGGTCGTGGCTTCCAACTGATGAATATTCTTGTTAATGGTTATATTGGTGCACTTCTCTTCACAGGCTCATCATCATGGTCCATGCAGTAAACAGTGTAATTAGTAAATTCTCATGGTTAGGAGAAGGACTTGCTGTAGCAGGAGTGTTTCATGGTGTCCATCTTATACTTTTCTCATGATAGTCTTCCTTTTCTCCCTGATAGAACCACAGATTTGGATTTTCAATGCAGAAAAGTCCCTGTGGACCAACAGTCCCTCCTGACTCTTCCTGCCTGCCGGCCGTGGTTTCCATGTCATTCCTGCACAGAGACACGTGGGCTCACTCCCAGTTTGAGCTGGCGTGTCACCCGGTGGGGAGGCTGCAGGTGACCAGGGGGTTCAGGCTGAAACCCTGAACTAACATGCCAGTATGGCACTAGACCATCTGCCTGTAAGATCACAGCAATGGCACGTAGTGGCCGTCATAAGGGGCTTGCTGGCTGCTTACTGATATTTCTAAGCCCTGGAGGATCCCAAGGTAACCAGCATGAGGGATGGTCCAAGGGCTGCTGTCTTGGCCAGGTAATGCAGAACCGATGTAATGGGAGCAGTACTGAAAAGCAGCACATGCATATTTAAATCAGTGTCAATTTATGCTGTCGCTGATCTGTGACTTACCGCAGTATCATTCATATTCAGCCTTAGTGCCAAAAACAATACTCAGCTGCTTTCTTACTTCTTAATGAAAAATACCTCTTTAGGGTTTCTTTGAAGTCCCCACCCCTGAAAATCCCTGCTATATTGTCATCATTGTTACTGTTAACAGCCCCTGCCAGTATTGGGAGCCTTTCCTGACAGATAGCTCTGCAGGGGCTTTGTCCGATGCTGCAATTCAGCCTTATACTATAGACAGTTTTAAATGGCTAATGACGGGCCTCCCAGGGGATTTCTGCCAAACTCTCAAAGACCTCCCAGGTTTAAAAGTGGCAGGGTGTCCTTTTCCTGGGGCCAGCCGCAGAAGGAATGCACACAGTCAGATTCTCCTACCTAAGCTGCATCAGCCTAGTTATTTTTTCAGTTGCAAAGACTCATCCATGCGTATATAGCCGGTTGCTTAGCAGAAGAGAGATAGCTGTGTCAGTAGAGGACACGGAATAAATAGAGGAAAAAGGTTAGGTGGAAAGTATCCCCACTAGTTTGAGGTATTACTGCATTTTAATGCTGAAACTATCCTTTCTGAAAGTCATAGAAAAATACGAAAGGCTTTGAAAAATTAAGCCAGGGTCTGTATCAGAGGTACGACGAGATTCATTTTTCCCCAGTGTGTAGTGATGGTACAGTGATATTTTGGGGATACAAATAGGAACGTGAATGATGTCTAAATGAGCTGGGCTCCTACATGCCATTTTCAGAGAAGAGGCAGAAAAACACTTGAGGATCATTGAGGGTCTATTGGAAATGGGATTCCGATGCTTATGCCATGATTTCATGAGAGTTTTAAGTCGGTGTAGGCAGACGCTGCTGCCAGATGAAGCCATACCTCTCCTCTCACCTCTCCCCTACGCCGGTGCCTCTCTAAGCCCCCCTTGTCCCAACACAAGTGCTTGTTTAGCTGTAGGGTCGCTGGATCAGGGAACTGATCCCAGTTGAAACAGACCTGTCAAAACCAGATGGTTAATTTTAACCCAGCTCAGTTCCCTTCGCTCTGCAGATGTGCGTCCGTGCGGGAGGGGAGGAAGAAGGAGGACTCTGCCTCCGCTGTGTCAGCACGGGCTTACGCTGGCCAAAGCCCTCGTGAGCCCACAGCTGAAAGAACTCAGGCCAGCGCTTCAACAGCCCTTGTCTGTTCAGTCCTAGCCAAATTAAGAGAATTTGACTGGTGCCGCACAGTGTGCTGGGGAGGGCCTCACCGGGGAGGGTGGCCTGTCCTCCATGGCTGTCCGGTCTCGGCTCAGGAGATGAAGCCTCAGCCTGTCTCAGCCTTACCCTGTTAATATCCATTGATTTTGGACCCTTCTGGCAGTTCGAAATCTGTTTTGGTTCAAATTTGATCTTCAGCTTTATAAATGAAGTGCGCAGTCAGGTGGGCGCTTATTCCCATGTAAACAGAAACCGTACCATTTTGATCAGCTTGTAGCTGATGTGCACCTCACCACAGTTTTGCATCGTGGCTGAATACAGTTCACAGCTTCTGAGTATGTTTCTCGATTTATTCATAGTGAAAAGGGCTCTTCTCAGTGATTAGCAAATGAATTTCCCAGAGAATATGTAAGAATTGGTTCATTGCTTGCTCTTGTGCTACCAAATGCAACTAAATCTTTCCTCCTGCTACAGGAATCAAAATTAATACGTTCTCTTCTGTTTTAAAATAATTTCTTTTTTTTTATTGAGGGGAAAACTGCCATCTCTCAAAGTGATGCTGTGCCTTTAACTGGGCTATGGTGTACAGAGTAGTTGAAGCTTCATTTAGCCTGAATGAAAAACTTGATGCATGTTGCTGAAGAGAGGAAACTGGTGGTGGATGATTTACTTGGAATGCCCTACAGCAACGGGGTTATAAATGAGGAGGGGAAACACCAAAAGCACTGAGATCTGAACCAGAGGAAATGCACGAAGCCTTGAAGTGACCTTATGTGAATTCCTAATGATGAGACTTAATTGAACTCATTTTTTCCAGGGGTTGTAAAGATCAAAATAACAACAGCCTTGAAATGCAAAGGTCTCTAGATAATGCATATGAATGTATGGTTGCATAGAGCCGAAAACTGCCCTGGGTTTGTGTGACCAGCCTGCCCAGCAGCTGGATACTGGACCCAGTCTTGCTCCGGGAGCTGCGGTGTCTGGGGGCCCCGACCGAGGCAACGGGGCTGCTCGAGGTGCAAAAGCAATGCCTAGCATCTAAGTCCTGCCCTCCATCCCTGTGTCAAAGCTGCCTCTGCTTAAATGCTTATTTTAAACTCTGTGTTTCTGCATTGAGTCCCAGGAAGCCTGGCGTGCCCCAGGATGCGAACGGCGTGCAGCTGGGAGAGCCACTTGCGAAACAAGCTCGTGTCCTCAGCCCGGCTCCGCGGGGGCGAGTGCCCCATTGCACAGACACGGAAATCCCAGTGAGGAGAAACAGAGCAGCTCTCGAGGGGTCGCCGGGCTGTGCCCTTCTCGCTGAGGTTGGTTCCTGACGTGAAATAATGTGGGCATATGTTCAGTGTGACAGTGTCGGAAAATGATACGGAGACTGTCAAGACCGAATTCCTGTGCTGTTCCTAGAGCTTGAGATTTTTTCCTTTGTGCTTGCGTTCAGCTCTAGGATTCATTCTCCTCTTTCGTATTAATGCATTTGTGGTAACATGAAGAAGTGTTGATCTGGGGAGAAAAAGCAAGTGGTCACTGCTGTGAAAAATACTTATCACTGATTCTGGTGCCTAAATTCTCTGGGCTGGTGTTTTCCAAGGACTTGCAGAGTTAGATACCCACATGTACTGAATGTCTGTCAAACACCAGCTGCCAAAATCTCCCGAGTTTCATTCAAAATGCCAGATTAATTGATTTATTTAGATTCATAAACATCAGTAGAGAGCAGGAGGCTCTGACCCAATGAGAAACTGTGGATATGGCTGTGAACAGCAGGCTAATGAAGATGAAAAACCTCCCCTGTCCAGAGTAATCCAAACACAGTCTTACATGTGAGTCTGTTGGCCCAAGTGCAGCTGTTTGTCTTTTCAGTAATCTGAAGCCGGAGCAGTACCCTGAGAAGCAAAGGGGACAGTGACTGTTTGTACGTAGCAGAGGTCAGTTGTGCTGCTGCCTAAACCGAACAGCTTCCCGTGGCGGAGGTGAACTTCGTGGCACGACGGTGCCACCACGGCTCCGGGGACGTGCTCCTGCTGGCCTAGCCTGGCTTCCCGGCTCCGTTGGACCAAAAGAGAGCAAGAAACTCAACGTCTTCCCTTTGGAGGGAAGCTGGAAAATCTTCTCTGTATTTAAAGTTCCCATGGCTGCAGTTTGAATTTGGCACACAGTTGGCCACGGGGTTATCTGAGGTCATGTACTCAAATAGTTGTAGATAAAACAAGGGCCTGTTTGGATTGGAAATCTCCAGAGGGCTTTTCCTTTGCGCGCGGGTAATGATATTGCAAGAGGACATGAGCCAAAATAAAGATTCGGCTCCGTATGCAGTAGCTCAGTAAAATAAAATGAGCGATGGAAAAAAAAAAGAGAAAAAAAAAAAAAGACTGTTTTCATTACGTTATTTTCTGAACTTGCTGTTGAGATGGAGGAATTACAGCCAAGGAGAGGGAGTCCTGCAGCGAGGCACCATCCAGGACTGGGCTCGCCGCACCACTCTTCCAGGAAACTCCCTGTAGCTGCAGAAAGCGCCGCTTTTTCTGCTGTGCTTACCTGCCCGCGGGCTCAGCCGGTGCACCCGCTGCGGTGCAGGTCCCCGTGCCGCAGAGCCAGCGGCGGGGTGCAGGGGACGCTGCCATGTGGCTTCCCCGGCTGCAGCCTCCAGCTTCGTAGCTCCTGCTCCTCTGCTGAAGAGGTTTGTTTCCAAAAATCCCTACTAGTTGGGGCAGTTACAAAGAGGGAGAAGTTAATGGGTTTTGGAAGTTAAAGAGGGAGTAAGATTCTGTTGGGCTCTTTCACAGGCCCCTGGGCTTTTATGGGAAACTATTTACTCACCGCTCAGTGGAAGACTGCAGAGCAGAGCACATTTGGACAAGAAATGTGATTCAGTACTTTTCCAGGCTGCCATTAGAGAAAAGCGTACGCTTGTAACAACAGCCCTCTTCCTTGCTTGCTGCCTGCTACAACGATCTTCATGGCTTCACAGCCTGTTGTTATGAAAATAATTGAAATGCAAAAGCAAAGTGACAAAGTTGGGAAGAAAATTAGGCCTTTGGGGGCTCTCCGTCTTCTGTGGTGCACTCGGCTGCTGTGGTGATAGATGCTGCTATAAAAGCATCACCCAACAGGTAGCGAGAAAGTAAAGATGAGACAGAAATGAGGAGGAAAAGCCGGAGGAAAAGGTGTTCACCACACTTCACAGCATGCTGCAGCTCAGGGCACCGCGGAAACTGAAACGGGACTTTCCTCTTGGTGCCATGACATCCTGCCCATGGGCCTGATGAAAGCACACACGGGCTGTGGTGGGGTGGGCAGTATAGGCTTTGCTGGCCTGGAGGTGCCCGCTCTGGCTGTCGACCAACACCCCCAGGTCCTTCTCTGCTGGGCAGCTTTCCAGCCACTCTTCCCCAAGCCTGTAGCACTGCATGGGGTTGTTGTGGCCAAATGATGAGACAGAAATGAGGAGGAAAAGCCGGAGGAAAAGGTGTTCACCACACTTCACAGCATGCTGCAGCTCAGGGCACCGCGGAAACTGAAACGGGACTTTCCTCTTGGTGCCATGACATCCTGCCCATGGGCCTGATGAAAGCACACACGGGCTGTGGTGGGGTGGGCGGTATAGGCTTTGCTGGCCTGGAGGTGCCCGCTCTGCCAGGAGCCAGGGCTGCTGTGTGTCAGGGAGCAGCTCTGTGTCTTGCCCAGTCTCCATTTGCTCGTGCTCTCAGCTCCCGCAGAGGGGTGCAGTACGAGGAGTCCCCCTGCCCACACTTGAAATCCCTATGGAGTGCGGTTGGTCAAGTCCTGCCGAGCTGCTGCGTTTCAGACTTGCGTTTCAGGTGGCGTTGTGACAGGTGGCACGTAGGCAGTGCCACCTCCGGGCTCTCAGCGGGAGCAGGCTGGTCCCAAGTAGGGAGTTGCTGTTTGAGAAGAGAGCGTGTCCCACACCATGCAGGGTCACCCAGGCACTGCATGGACCTGCTGCATGTCCTTTAGGGCTTTCCCCTGAGAACGAGGAATGTACAAACCTCTTACTACTATGAATTTCATTTCTGTGTAGAAATTATCTGAAGACAGCTTGCAGCTTTGTTACGCTTGTTTATTGTGTTGGTTTTAAGATTGCTTGCTGAGGAACTCCAGATGTGGATGTTTTGTTGGTGGCTGTGGACATGAGGAACCCAACTCCCACCAAGTTCAGGGGGATTCGTGTATCCCTCTCCTGGGCTGCTGAGAAGAATTCAGCCTCAGTCAACAAATCTTTATCTACGTCTTCATTAGAGTTCACTCAAGGTGCTCACTGGAGACTCTGGGAGTTTGAAAGGTTGAATTCATCAATCAATTTATTTCTGTCCCCTGTCTGGATGGAAACAACTGATAAATGTAGGTTTCTGGTGCAGATTCTGAAGCTTACATCTTCACAATTCAGTTTCCCCTAGTATATGCTTCAAATGTATATTCACATTCTTTGTGTGAAGCCAGTTTGTTGGTAGGGAAGGAGTCATAAAAAGGTCACATATTCATCAGGATTCATTTTTAGAAAGGGAACAAGGCTGCATGCATGTCTCCTTGGAGCATTGGCCCTGCTTTTCTCCTTATAGGGAGTATTTTAATAATGGTAACACTGTAGTTTTTCAGCTTATGGAGACATACAGCAATGTTCCAAAAAGCCGTAGTTGCAGTCAGTGCCACCAAGGGGTTTTCTCTCTCTGCGCATCCCGTGTTTCTACGTTGTGCATGTTACTACAGCTTTTCTGTATCTTGTAGACATGGTGTTTCTTAATGTGCTTACGGTGTGCTTTTAGTACTTGCCTCATGACAAATTGCTAATCAAATACCTTAGGTCTATAGTATTCCATCAAAAACACTTTTGAGCTGCTGGGTTTCTTTCTGAGCATTCATGGACGTACTGGGAAAAACCAGTAAAGTCCTTACTGACCAGAGAAAGGAAAAACAGGAGGGTTTGGCACTTATATAGATCCTTACGATGACATACAGACCTGTGTATAAATGACATTTTCTTCCTAGAAGGCCTGAGTGCAAATCTTTGGGTGACCATTAAAGAGGAGCAATTTGTTACCACCGTTCCTGCTGCGGGCCGGTGGGTTGTACGGTTGGGCTGGGTTGGGGCTGGGTGTATGGTTGCACGCTGTCCACTGGAGCATAGGGCAGGATCACTTATCCCAGTGCCAGCTGGAAGGGGACAGAAGGTGACTGATGTGTCAGGAAGCACTGGCAGGCAATACCCTTCCAGCTGAAAGCCAGCCAGGACAAGTCAGTTTGAATTTTTAAATTTTTTTTTTTGTAGGAATATGAACTGGCTCCCTAATTTTGTGTTGTGTCAGTGCTTCATGTCACGTGCCTCCGCTGCCTTTGACCCCAGAGCAGAAGCTTTGCTGCTGGATTTGCTGTATTGTCACATTGCAGCCTGTGTCTCTCGCTTACCTCTCTTGGACAATAATCCATTTTACAGAACCTCATCTGAGTTTAGCTGGATTGTTATTCTGGCTCAAAAGAAACTCAGGACTCGACAGAAGTGCCAAGGACCTGGTTTGCAGTGCACTGGCAAAGCCAGGAAAACGAGGGAGGCATTTGTCACCTGAAGGGTCTGTATGATTTAACCACACACACACATCTGGCAGTTTTATGACGGTGACATTTTTCATTTTTTTCCCCAGTGGTAGAGCAAAATTAATCAGAAACGCTTTGGAACAACAACTGTTTTATAGTGATCGTAGCATGAGTGCAAGACGAGGCTTGTCATCATGGCAGCCTCGGAGATAATTTGCTGAGACATTCAACTGCCTTTAAATCTCCACTAGAGAATTTTTGCATTTCTGGTCGTGGGTCACTTGTGCTAATTTGGCATCTCTCTTAGAGCAATTTACATTTTTCTTTCAGCACAAACACTTATCCTCTCTAATAATGAGAACGCTCCTGTGCTTGGTTTTGGGGGTGGTGGTGAAAGTAGTTCAAATCTGAAGAGAGGCAGCTGTTCTCCTTGGCTCACCAGCGTGTTTCAGGCATTCGTTGAGCCTACAGAGGAAACACATTCTTAAAGTCTGTGTCAGGAAACCAGCTTTGAAGGCAGAAAAGTCGTGTGAATTTTCAGTGTTCCTCTAAGACCTATAATTTGTTACAGCACTGTAGGTGCTGCAGTTCGTTTGTGGTGTATGTTAGTGAAGCCCTCACAGGATTTACACTGCAACACGTTTAGCAGATTTTAATCTAACGTTACTGAGTTGAATCAGAAGTTGCATGAGAAGTTAAGGTTGGGACGTGGTCATTAGTGCGTAGAGACGTACTCCTGATATGAGTTCAGGCCCATGGGTTTGAGTGTGAACTGGCCAAGAAACGAGCTTTTGTCAATGCAATACAAGTAAGACTGTTCCTCAAATAATTTAATATTAAATGTGTGAAGCAAGCCTCAGATCCTGCCCTGTCCTGCGTGTCCCAGAGTTGGAAGAACAGTGAGGCAGTTGTCCCCGAGCTGCTCGATGCCGGTGAGCTTGAAGGCTCTGAAGAGGTTGTTTACCGGTGAGATCAGAAGGGTGTTTTATTTGATGCAGAGTACAAAGGTGCCAACACCTTCTGGAAGAGGACAGTGGTACATGAGGGAGACTGTAAAGTCCACGAGAGCTCTTGCACAAGCAAAATGCAAAGCAGGGACCAGAGCAGAAGTGTCAGAGAAGAACTAGGCACTGGTGACCCAGCCTCCCTCTGAAGGGTCCTGGACCGGCCCTCAGGGTAGATGAACAGGAAGAGAAACGAGGGATTTCTGTTAGAAAAGGGGATGGCAGGACTGAACCTGGACAACTGAATAGTCTTTGCAGATTGCCCCTTCCATGCCAGCAAGCTTTGATTTCAGGTTTAAAGTAAAAAAAACCTTAATTCGGATCAGTCCTTCAAGCCCAGGTAATGTTTTTCCAAAATATAAGTGTGCAAAACAGCTACTTCCCAGGAGCAGGAGACCTCTGAAAGGGAGATTATTTGTGTGTTGCTTGTCCAAGCGACAATGATTAAAGGTTTCTCGGCAGGCTTGTTCCCTCGTTAGAGATTTGAACTTTGAAGTTCCATCTCCAGCTGGAAACTCACACAAACCTTTGGGCCAAGAGCACTTTTTTCCTTGAAATATTTGGTATCAGTGCTTTGGTACAAATCTCTAATTTGTGTGCAGCTTCTGCTTTGCGACTCATCTACCTTGGCTGAAGACAGCCAGTGACAAACTGGGATTACTGAATGAGGCAAAAATCCACATTGCCCTGGAAAGGTATCTGGGGACCTCACAATCCTGCCTTGAGATAAACTCTCATCACAGCCAGCTTGAGACGGAAGTATTTTGCATCCCTCCCCTTTCTT